AAAAAAAAATTGATGTAGAAAAAGAATAAAACCACCAAGAAATTAAAAATGCCAAAGAAATAAGCTTCCATATTCTTTGAAAGGATGAGAGAAAAGGAGATCAGTGCTTACTGGTTCCGTTGCTCTGGGGAAAGACAGTTGCTGCTTACAACTTCCAAACTTATTTCTACTTCTGCTATAACAACTTCCAAAGGCCTTCATGACTCGACAACTTAATTGCCATTCTTACAAAAGCTTTTAGACGGACATACCATGTCTCGAGTAAGCATACCGACAGATTTGTCGTCCACGTCCGAATCCTAATCTACGTGGATTAAAATACAAAATATAATGATCAGCGATAATTTATAAAATAATTTTTTTTTGATGTAATTGTTGTGTGTGTACTGTATATATATATATATATATATAAATTATAAATATCTTATAATCTATTAATATAGTTTAATTTTTATATGTCTTAGTTATATTAGTGGATTAAAGCAGTATAGAACTTTAGTGTTGAAATTTATCGACAAGTTAATCAATTAATATGTGTTATTAATCATCTAAACTCGGGTCTCAACTTCAGAATTTGTCTCTAAATTAAGTTAATGGATTGACCGATTAAGTGAACATTAGTTTTTGAAAAATATGAATTAATTGATTAAATTTTCATTGAACCGAATTAAAATGTATATAAAATTTGAAAAATTAAAAGGACTTTTTATTTCTGAAAGTTATAATTTTTGAGAAAATATATATATTTATTTATGAACGAGTGTTTAAAGCACATTTTGAAGCCTATAAATGATTCTTAGAAGTTTTAAAAACAACATGTAACTATTAAATCATTTAAAAACTCTTGCATTCATCATCTTAGCATATACTTTTTTGAATTATATTCAATTAAGTTAAAGAGAATGTTATAAATGCAATTTTTAATTTCCTATTCTTTTTAACATTTCATCTTGGAGATAACAAATTTAAGTGTACATTTTCATCTTGACAGAGAAACTAATATTTTTAAGTAAGTTTCTTAGAAATGAGTTGAAAGTTGCTAAAAGCTACTTAATGTAGCAAGGCAATTTATTTAGGAAAAAAATTGTTAGTTAACTACATTAATCTAATATTCTTTTCTTTTAACCATTTACTCTTTCTTTTTTAACTATTACCAATGCAAAATACTAATAAAATTTTATTTGTCTTTAACAAAATATTTAAACTCTACTCAACACTTAATTTCAATAATATACCAACTAAATTTTGTATCACAAATTCAGTATTTGAAATCTTTAGAGTTAAGAATTCAATATTTAATTTCCCATTCTTGATTTTTTTTTCAATTTATCTAACATTATATCTTGATGCATAAGATTCATGAAAAAAAGTTGATAAATGTTTTAATCATTATAATAATAATAATGTAATATACCTTAATACTACTCTCAACCTTTCAAAAAAATATGTAATATACATATTATTCTAATAAAATGAACATACCATTATAATTGAATGCACATGTCATTTAAATTAAATTAAATACAAGATACATGAATTCTCAAAGGGTAATTTGGTCTTAACAGCTTAAACATGTTTACACATATGTCAAAGTTAGCCTCTTACACTCAATCGACAATTATTTTTTTAGAGAACCACTAATTAATAACTATTATGACATGTTGCATTGAACTGTAATTTTCCTCTTCAAAATTTTAAAGTAGGCTTCCCGTTTGGAAATTTAATTGGGAAGAACGTCATTTTCATGTTGGGTAGGGCAAATTCTTAGTAATGTTTAGATTCTCATGGTATCACTTTCCCTTCACTGGTGGAGAATCTCATCCCTATGCGGCGGTGGTAATTTTACATTCCCCACAACTTTGGGAAAGTAAATAATTTTTTTAACTGAAAGATTCAGTATGTTATGATCCATAATTATATTCACTAAACATAACTTACAAGTTTTAGTTTGAAGAGTTAATATGGATAGTATTAGTATACATCCCTAATACACTGATCATTTTTCCAAATTGGCGCAAACATGATTTATTACTATTATAGTACCAAGGCCATTTTATAATTGATATTGAGTTTCTTAATAGAAAGGCGACTTTTTTACTATTTCATGAACACCACATTCATACTTAGACTTTATTTAGACTGAAAACGAATTGGAAAAGAAAATGATTTATTATCCGTAGATTTGTAAAATTTATTTATAAATTATGAAGATGTACTGAAAAAGAATGAACAAAAAACATAATAGAAGAAGCCGAGCCTTCCTTCCTCCTCTGCCTTCTTTGTCTGCAATTTCTCCCTGAAAGGATTTTCCGTGGTCAGGCCGAGCGGCCCGTGAGGCCTCAAACTTTCGAGCCATTTAGGCTCTACTAGTAGGCTGAGTTATTTTCCTTTCTTTTTGGTCCAGTGCAAAGAGTTTTATTAAGGGATGACAAAAAGGGGCAAATTGAGGAGTGTATAGGAGTTGGGCTTGATTGCCAATTGCAAAAAGCGATCATTGAGGCAGAATTAAATGCGTTGTGAAGTTGAGCCACTGACTTCATTCCTAAATGGGGCCTTAACCAGCGGCTACCAGACCCCATGAAATGTAGACAATTGAATATTTTTAGGTAGTCATTATACGCTTTATTGGTTGGGCTCTTGGTGTTTAAATCCCTGCCACACTGCATTCCACCAAATTCACAAAGCTGTTACAATCAGTACTTTTAATACCCTCATTCATATCTATATACAAGGAGCAAATGCACATATGTTTTGTACATGTAAGCCTTTTGAGTCACATTTGGTCTGCCATTAATTTCAGCAACTTCCCTAAGGATCACCCTTTACTTGCATGTGCGAATTGAAGTCGGCAGTAGGAAAGAAATGGAAAGGAGAGATGTGCCTCTGCCACTAGCTAGGAAAGAAATGAAAAGTATTCCTTGTGTTTGGTAAGGGAGAAAGAAGAAGAGAAAAAAAAGTGGAAATCCCATTCTCCCAAAAGTATTAAGGAAAACACTAATTCAACTTAGATTAACAAATTGTATAAAGGAAAGGATAAAAAAGAACACTAGGAAGGTGAAAGGGAAAGCAAGAAATAGCATGTTGAAGGCAAAATTATAGTACTTGATGGATAAAGTTATCTTCATTTTCATTTATATAGTTCAAATTCGATGTACTCTCTCATATATATATATATATAAATGACAATAATCCTAGTAATTAGCGCTAGAAGGCAACAAATTAGCTGAGGAGTGTTTGGCGTGTAGCATGAAAAATCAATCATGTGCGTGAATCAATCAACACACCTCGTGCTCCAATCGGAATTGAAGTGTCACTACCAAAAGCGAAAGCACAAATAATTGTTGGTGCCTATTAACCTAACTTCCAGACCATCTCCACTGCACATTAACGAAAAGGAAAAGGAGAGTAATATCTAGCAATATTTCTTTTGGCGGATAGGCCATAGTTTACAACATGCATGCTCTTCTTGACCCACCACCTTTAACCGGTTTAAATAAAGACCCACTCTCTTAGAAATTGTTGCCATTCAACAATTCAAACCCAAGAAAATAAAGAAGGAAAAAAAAGGAGAAAAAATGTAGCTATAGTTGCCCTTTTTCATGTATATATCCATCCCAGCTATGTCCTGTACGATTGATTTCCAGCAAGGAAATAGATAGGCATTGATCTTTGTTTCCGTTTTAAACATGTGTTGGGAAAAGGAGTGGCCATGGAACTTAGCCACTATGAGGACTAAGGTATATATCTTGAGCACGTGCTTTGGTTGACTGACTCTGGCTAGCTTCATCTCTCCTCCCTTATAAAATGGCTACTCTTGTTTAGAATTGAATGCACTGAAAAAAA